TATATATATATACATCAAGATATTAAATGATGTACAGCCAGAGTACACAACATCTAAAAAGGGCACTTTCATTGTTCTCCATGGGAACAGAAAACTTGCACAGCAGAGCATTTAGGACAGTAATGGGCTTTGAAACTATGTATACTAATCCAATCTGAAGTAATGCTTTAATCTATTAAGTGAAGGCTACATTTGTGAAAACAAAATCCTCTGACCTAAGTAAAAACATTGCAATGACACATGAATTCTATCCTGGTGCCATTGACAAAATAGTAAACAAAGATTTGAAATTTACAAAGATTAACAAGGCACACAAACTTAGTCCACATTCATTGGTTTATTTTTTGAAATTTTAAAAAGCATACACAAGGTCATCCATTATAAAAATCTTGCATGGTGTTACATTGGTAAAACTGTTAAAATACCATGGTAAAACTGTAATCATGAAATATGTTTGGTTTAACCATATGTTATGATATTTGTAGTTTGGAAAAATGTTATTTTCAGAGCTAGCAGTTTTTATTTCCAACTTTACTATATAGATAAAGATTTAAAAATTTGAGTAATAGATTTAAGAATGATATGAAAGAAATTTATGAGTGATTGCAAAATAAAATTTTTAAAATCACGTGTGTGTATTAAATACCAGTTCAATATTGACGGCCTTGTTGTTGCATATAAGCGGTAAACATAGCCTACCATAAACAGGTATGAAGTTTTCCATTTCAGATAAATACTTGGGTGTTGGCATGTAGCCTTGTAATAAAAAAATACCCATTCAGTAGTGATATTCCTCAAACAAAAAATAGATAAAAATTGTTACCTCATCACATTTTGCTTAAAATTCATAAAAAAAGTGACTAGGATAATTATGAGGAGAATCATATAAATTCTGTGTAAAGACACAGAATAGACATAATTGAATGTACTTAACAGTATGACTGCACCTGTTTCCTACAGGATTTTATATACATTTACCTGTTATTGTTATAATATAAAGTAGTTAGTTGAGGCTACAGCAGTTGTTTTATACATGATAATGTATGAGTATGCTGATATTTAAACATGATCAAAGTAGTTATTTTGTTTAAAACACTATGATTATGGTTGTTTACTTTATAATAATACATCTGTTTCATGTTAGAATATCAAGTAGTAAAGGTTTCAACAGTATGACTACAAATGTTTGAAATAAGATTCAGGTAATATATTTGTCTACTTTTGTTAGCATATCATTGGGGTGCTTGGCTAGACGTATGGATTTTACAATGAGAGATTGAAAGTATAAGGAGCTGCTAAAAGCAGCTTAATATAGCTTAATATAATTTACAGTTGCTATATAAGTCAAATATGTAAAAGTGGGGGTGCTGTAGCACACCTTGTTCTGACATCTCTGTCCAGCACAACACATATAAATACACTTATTAAAAATTCATTTCTACTTACACGCTAACTCCACTGCATTTGTATTTTTCTCACATCATGCACACTATGCATGTACTGTGCACACCACTTACAAATGTCAGGCAAAAACCAAAGTTCAGATAAAAAAATCCCCATGATCTGGGGTCCCACTGTCTATAGTATAAGCAGCAATTATTTTATAGCTGAACTAATCTGGTTAATTTTTGGTCTCATCTTATGATTGAATAAATTATTTTAATGGAGGCTTTGTTCATCATTGGATTTGTTAAGATCTTAAAACAATTCGAATGGATTACTATGTCACACTCACCTATGGCATGCTTCAATGCACTGAATAGTTATATAGATAAGATATGTACATGAACATATGATGTACATTATGTGTAGGCTTAAACTTATATAACAAAGGGCATTTTATAAATTTTATCTGCCTGATAAATCATTATAGAAAAATATTTGTACTAATTAAAAACAGGATAATATATAACATAACAACATGTGTTATATTATACAGAGACCATTTCATAAAAGCAGTTCACACTGGCTTGTATCTTGGTAAAATAGAGCTATAGATAAATTATCTTGATATATTCAATGATGAAATAATGTGTGAGATACAACAACTATGTTCTTTAGAATGCATTGTTTTGCATACTTTGGTTTACCTTTGTGATTTTTATATGAAGCATGTATTTAACCAGTTTATTTGACCTTTTGATCACTAGATGGATATATAACAAATGCATCTATAGGAAGATCTTAACAATTAATTGTAATGTTAAGAAATTATGTAATGTAATATAATAAATAAATACTAAAAAAGATAATTAAATGAGGAAAATTTACACAATAGGATGTAACAAAAATAGTGAAAACTACTTCAGGTATATTCCTTTATATTTATTTTAGGTATAGAAGACCATTATGGTCTGTTTGCAATAATTTGTGCCTTTATAATTGTACTTTTTTATTTATCTTTACTGCTGATGGCCATAATACACATGAAATATGTTTAGCTTAGAATATGAAGGTTTTTCATATGCTCCAAATCTGACTAAACTGTGTATTATTTTTGTTTCAGGGCTACAAACATAAAAATGCCTTTTTAGTCACTCATATGCCTCTTAAGCACACTATTGTGGACTTCTGGCGACTGATTTATGACATGCGATCTTCAATGATCGTAATGCTCAATGATTATAGTCGATCTGAAAATCTTTTAGTAAGTAGTGTTTATTAACAACAGTTTAACTCAAATTTATTACTTCATCTGGCATGTTACGAAAATGAATTTTCTCATTTTTGAGCAAATAGCACTTCAAGAGTGCTTCAATATGCAGTCTCTGATTGTATTAGCTAACAACTCATGAAGTTCTATTCTTCTTGTATCTGAACAAGCAATTCATGGAAATGCATTCGTATGTGTCAGTAAGCAATCCTTGAAGATACATTCTCATACATGACCAGTATATTGAGAATATTTCTTCTTGTTGTTTATGAGCAAGAAATCCTTAAGAATATATACTCTTTGTATGTAAGCATGATGTCTTTAAGTTTTTTTGTATGTATAAAAACAGCCCTTTCAAGTATGTTACTATTATGTGTGAGTAATGAGTCTTTTAAAATGTGTATGTGTGTATCCAGTTTTTGAAGATATATTCTTGTTTTACCTGACAAAGACATTTCTTAAAGAGGAATTTTTTTATGTCCATAATAGAAACATCTAGTGATAAATTGTTATTTTTTTTAATTGAGTGTAAGCAAGTATCCATTGAATCAGAATATGTTTTTTAAAACTAATTCAGTGAGTATACTTTCTAGGAGAGTAAAAATTCCTGATATTTAGCAACTAAAGTCCTCTAAGGTCTCATCTAGTAATGAAAAATTACAGGTAAAATTGTTGAAGATTTATTCTTTGTTTGAATGTAGGTGTTCATTGAATATATAGTATGTTTTGTATATATAAGTGATTATTGATAATACATGTCATCAGAAGTATTATTATTAAACTTGTATATTATTGTGTAAAATAGTAATTTGTGACATTAAAATCAACTTAATGTTTGAAATAGCATTTACAGTTTTGTTAAAATCTTGAGACACTACAGCATTGTGTGATTATTATTTAACTTTTTGAAAGGTTTTCTCTTGATTTTAATCACATTCAAAACTATCTTATACTAGTTACTGCGTATTTGCTAGTATATGTGGTCATATGAAGTAAAACACTCTTGCTCAATACTTTCATAATTTAATTTGATAAGTAATAGGTATGTTTCATTCAATAAGACTTATTCCTAAAATATGTATTTCTACTTCATAGGATGTTGGGCAGTACTGGCCTAATGAAGGTTGTTCAACCTTTGGACCATTTGAAGTACAAATTGTGACATTTGAAGATCAGGGTACACTTGTGGTTCGAATTATGAAACTAATAAACAACAACCAGGTAAATTTTCATTTGTGTTTTGAATTGGTAGATGTTTAAATTATGATATATGAGGTACTGTATATTTTAACTTTTATATTCCTGTACTTGCATTCTGAAAAGGTAAAATTTTGAAAAAATTTGCATTGGTTTATTTATATGTGTATATACTCCTTTTTATTGTTCTTCATTGCTTGGATTTTTCCCTGTACTTTGGAAGTTAACTAATGAAACATTATATTAACAACGCCTTTTGAGTGCTGTTTCTAAACATGCATGAATTTGAATGCATATGCAGTTGATTATAGTAGATTTTGTACATACATATATACATCATTGTTTGTGTACTGTGTGCTACTGATGTTAAAATTTTATTTAAAAATGTCTTAAAATTATTCAAATGACACCAGTTGTATTGTCATTCAGTGAATAGTAAAAAAAGTGTCAAAATGTGTTATAAATATACAAAAGTGTTAGGGGTCAAACTTTAAAATAGATTGTAACTTTCTGATATGAAAGCCTACATTAACATGCCATTAAAAAAGAGAACAGTAGCCAACAGTCTTGTCAATTAATTATAAATCAAAAGATTAACAATATTTCCACTTATCTACCATTTAATGAAACTATAGTCATCTTATTCAGTTATTTAATCCACTGTGGATAAACTCCCAACCGGTTTGTAAACAAACTATATATCTTTTAGAAGTGAAACTTTATGCACGTCCAGAAATTATTTGGAATATCAAATAGCAAAGTTGAAGAATTCAATTCTGGTAAAAGTCATTTAATCTTAGCTAATTTGAGCATATGTTAATGCAAATTTAATTCCCAGTATAATAAGGTTTGTTTTAAGGTATTGATATCATACCAGCAATGCTTTGTGGATATGGCTTGAGCCAAAAACAAAACTAAACTTACTAGAGTTCTTAATAATGTTAAGAATGATTTCTACAAGTGAATGACAAACATTGCTAGAATCTTTGAATAATATATCAATTTTGTTTATGTCCAAATTGTTCTATAAAAATTTTGAGAAACAATTTGATGTAATTTACTTCTTCATCACTTCATCCAGCATAATGTAAGTTTATTAGTGATAGAAAATCTCCTCTACCAAACTCATTTCCAAATACACCATTTAAAAATGGTTTTATTTATTACTGTATGTTCATAAAGGTTATGGACTTTGCTTTTAAATGGAACAAACAGCTGAAGAATACACAGAGAATAATTACCATTCATATACAATTTAAGATATAAGAATTATAATTGTTGTGAAGGTAGAAGTCTGGTTAAAAGTTGTTGTTAAATTGTTTTGGCATGTAATAAGTACATTGTTGTTTTTATATTAGCCCAGTGAAGAGCCACTCAAAATTATTCAGCTTCAGTATACGGATTGGGACCAGGAAGAAGTGTTACCTACTAATGCTACTTCCATGTTGGCACTGTTGAACCACGTTGAAAGGTGGTACCGACATACAAAAGGAGGTCCAATCACTGTACACTGCATGTAGGTTTTCTTACCTTTCTGTCTTTATCCCTGTCAAAAGCATAGTTTTATTATGTGCTTTAATATTTGATACTCAATGTTCTGTTATACCCATGATTTATGTTTATGAGTTTTGGACTTTAAACAATACAAAATAAGGAAATGTGAAACAGAAATCAATTTGAAAAATTCACTTTTATCATTATTGCTGTTATACAAGACTGCTTGTTTGTTTGTAGTTAAGCACAAAGGGCTATCTGTGCTCTGCCCAACATGGGTCTCAAAACCCAGTTTCTAGTGACATACCGCATACTGTTTTTCTTTCAGTTTTATTTGGATTAGAAAGTCACTAAAGTAAACACATCTAACTCTACTTCATTCTAATTGTACCTGTGACCTGGTTCACTAACTTGCCATTAACTGAGTTCTCCTACAGGAAAGATAGCTTGTGATGTCCCAAAATAGGCAGCTTTCTTTTCTATCAGCAAATCTGGTAATGGTTACCCTGCCTTTGCGCTTGACTCATAGTGTAAGAGAGCCACTCTTGCCACTCAAACACATTCATCACAGACACGCCTTCCCTTGTTTTGTTTTAGTTTATCGGATTTGTCTCTGTCTGTTTATTTTGATATTAAAGATTGTAGTTTGTAGTTGTGCATTTTTGTGTTTTAACTCTTTCTTCAAGACAAACTCAGTCACAGTTTACAAAGTAACAGACCTATACTGTATTACTTGATATTCATTGCACTACCAATTAGTGGACCTTTCTCTTGGTCTGTGGTAAAGCCATGTACTGTTGTCTAGACAACAATTAAAACTTTAACTGCAATATGAAAAGTAAATATAATGTCAAGGAATTTAATTTGTTAGTTAGTTGCATGATAGAGTTTACTTTATTGTCATTGTAAGCATTGATGTTGTTCTTTTTATATGTTTTTTATATACTTGGTTGATGTTGTGAATAATTGTTTATGAATTTTTATTTATTTATTCAATTTTATTGTTTTCTGTAACTTATAAATGTTGTCTTGTTACCAGGAATGGTGCAAGTAGATGTGGCCTGTTTTGTGCCACTAGTTCTGTTTGTGATCAAATAAAAACAGAACAGCTTGTAGATGTCTTCCAAGTAGTCAAATGGATTCGAAACAACCGCCCAGAATTTATTTCTTGCATGGTTAGTAGTTCATCACTGTTTGTCCTTTTACCTAAATAAATTATAAGAAATAGTTGGATTATAAAGAATACAAATGTTGTATTGCTAATCATCTTATTTTGTTTATGTTGAGCTTCTGCTTTATGTTTTTGTTTCTTCATTTACAAGTGAAATATGTTGTATAAAGTTTTTGTGTGAAACCAAACCTGGTGACAGTAGTTTAATAGTTTTTTATAAATTTTCTGTTAACTAATTATCTACTGATGTGCATTAAATTATAAATTGATCTATTAACTATATCAGTATAAATCTTTACTAATCAAATCAGGTTTTAATTAGTGATGTACATTGTATTATTAGTTAACTGGTGTGCATTTGCTAGTTAAAGATGTATATCATGTTATCAGCTGGCTAACTTATTTATTAGTTATGTACATCACTTTATTATCCAGTTAACATATTAGCTAGTAATGCACACCATGTTATCATTCATTAAATATAAAAGCTTGTAATATTAAACATTAAGTTGGCATTTAAGTTAGTGTTGTACATCATAATATCTTTCAATTAAAATATGGACTGATGCTCATCATGTTATCACCTGCTCAACTTCTAAGCTAACAATATACACAATATTATCACTTAGTTGATGTATTAGCTAGTAATATTCATCAGGCTATCATCCACTTCATTTGTCAGTTAATGATGTACATTGTTTTATCATTAAAGTGGCTTATAGGCAGGCTAGTAACATACATCACATTTTCATATAAATGCTTTGCTAGTGATTGATGAAGATTTGATTAATTAGTCAAATTTTGCTTCAGTAAATACAGTAAAACCCTACTATATTTAATTTAACTTAACCTAGAACAGAGCACTATTATACAGACAGGAACACAAGTTTAGGTTCATTTCTTCTGGAGAACATATACAGCTGAGTCCAAAATGATATACTTCGAGGCTGAACAGTTGTAAGAAAACACTATGTACTGATAAAAATATAACTGTTCTTGTGTTATTGGATGTGTTAGTAAAAGGAGAAAATACAACAAACAATGTATTCATCAGGAAATGTTATTTGTGCTGAATCTTTTTTTTTTCTTTTTAAGGACTTGCATGTGCAAAGTAAATCACTAGATTGTTTATGAATATTATGCATTATTCTAATTTCAATAAGTTAGTAGTATTCTTACCTTCATTGGGGTATAGTAAAAGAAGACGTCTAAGTATTTTTGACACTTTTGCAAGTCAATTTACTGTATTCTTAATGTAACAAATGTTTATGACAAATAGTAACTTGTACTTTTGGTTTTTCTTCCTTTGTTTTCAGGAACAGTACAAGTTCTGTTATGAAGTGGCGCTGGAACTTGTGGACTCATTTTCTGTTTATGGAAATTTTCAACCCTCTAGCTAGATAAAAAGTTGCTTTGTACTTGGTCTTTTTCCTGGACAAATCTACCATAATTTAGATTTGTAATTGGGTATATGCAAACATATACAAAACTTTGTTGAATAATGTTACTGTTTCTTGGTCCTCCTTTCTTTCCAGCCTTTAGAGTGAATCTTTTTTCATATTACCAATATCAGAGATTTTCAAACCTGCTAATATTTTGGTGTTCATATTAATGAACTGTGAATCATTTATCATTATGTTGATGTCACTGTTTATTAAATTTATACTGATGAAGTTATATTGTTTCACTATTTGTATAAACTAACATCAAATCACACATTGAAACTGTGTGTTTGTTATTGTTAATACTAGAATTTTTCAGGCTATAAGAATAAACTATATATATATAGGTTTATTTAAGGACTAACCATATTACTAGGTTGGAACTTTTTTTTTATGATCAACTTCATGTCAAAGCTTCAACCTAATATCATTTCACTTTTGATACTCTGTTTACTTATATTACACAATTATAAAAATGGAAGCTTCACATCTAAATTACACAAATGTCTGACGAAATATTACCTTATAAAAACAATCTTCAACAGTTTTGTGTACTGTCGTTAATATATATATATGTGTGTATGTATTAATATTAGTATACAAAACACACATAAGTTGTTCTTATTTGATAGTACATGAATAGAGTGTTTAAGGAATAATGTTTATAAGATAAAATAGAAAAGAAAATACTCAAGGCAATAACAAAGTAAAAAAAAGAGAGAAAAGCTACTGTGTTTCTTAGAAAAGTTTTGCAGAGTAAAATACTCTTGTTATCTAAAAAATCGGATAGAACAGTTGTCAAATCTGTAGTCAAATTCAGTATCCATTAAATAACTTGAGTAATGAATATTTTGAAATATATGTGTAATTCATGTGCCTTCAAACCTTATTAGAGAAATTTTAAACGTAATAATTAAAGATCTTCACATGTAGTTGTATTTAGTTATCACTGAATTTACACACAGCTTTTTATACACAAAGAATTGAAAAGTAAAAAATTTCTCCATAGTATTTGTTTCTCTTCTCAACTAATTTTGTCTAGATATCTACTCACTCTCAAAAACTAAGCATTAATGTTGTACTAACAGAGATTTTTTTAAAGGGTTCAACAATAGACTTGTTAATAAGGATTCAACAGAGTGAGAGTGTGTGTGTGTTAGGCAAAACATCCTTTTCATGTGATATTTTCTCTCTTAAACAAAGAAAAAAGAAGTTCTGTTACTGTTAATGGATGAAAAAAAAAATGAATGGTTGTGAGTAAACAACAATTAGAAGGTGTGATTACTTTATGCCACCCAAGTAGTGTTTAGAGGTTAGCTTTCAGTTTTTATAGTTGTTTCAATATCCAGTCATTCTATGCATATAGTTTCTGTTACTCTGTAGATTTCAAAAAATCAAGTTTTTAAACTGGCATTCAAAATTTAATTGTCCATTTGTTTTTTCAATATTTTTTCTTTGTTAAATAAATTTTTCTGAGTTTTCTGGTGCTTTACTTTGTGGTAAATTTCCTGTAGTTTCTTAGTTGTAGTTTTTAAATATTTTCTTGTGTAGAAGTAAAAGATGAAATACTACTTGTTAAAGTATTATTTTGTAAATTTTGGTACCCAAGTTGTTGCTGTTTGATAATGTATGAATAAAGTGTTTAAGGAATAATGTTTATAAGGTAAAATATACAAGAAAAATCTCAAGGCTATATCAAAGTAAAAATAGAGAGAAATTATTAGGAGTGTTATAAACTGTGTTTCTTGGAAAAATTTTGCAGAGTAAAATACTCTTATTATTTAAAAATCGGATAGAATAGTTGTACAATCTGTAATCAAATTCAGTATCCATTAAATAAGTTGATTGATGAATATTTTGAAATATAAAAGATCTTTCAAATTTTGAAAAGACTTTGTACATTTTTCTGCAGAAGTATGTGCATTCAAAACACATAATTCTATCAGAATTTGAGTGTGTGTGTACATAAAGCAGATTAAAGCAAGATGCTATTACAAGTATATATATACAACACAGGCCTGTGATGGTTTTATTGTCTTGAATATTTTACATGTTCTACGGTAATTCCTATACACTGAATCCGAAATGATATCCATTTTTCACCATCTTGTACAGATTTTTCACAAAAAAGTCAGGAAGAATGAGATG